AAGGAAGGAAGGAAGGAAGAAAGAAAGAAAGAAAGAAAGAAAGAAAGAAAGAAAGAAAGAAAGAAAGAAAGAAAGAAAGAAAGAAAGAAAGAAAGAAGGCTGAGCAAGCCATAGAGAACAAGCCAGTAAGCAGCACTCCTTCATGGTTCTTGCCTTGGTTTCCCTCAATGATGGACTGTGAGAAGGTGTTTGCAAATTAGAGCTGCAGGCTGTATACACTTTAGACAGCAAGAAACCAAAGCTGGAGAGTCCAGAATTTCTTGGGAAAATGCCCTACTTGTAGACACTTCAGATCATTTTCCCAGAAGGCCAATGTATCAGGCGCTCAGGTGGACATAACCCTTCAAATTCCCCAGCTTTTGTGACCCTCCCTCTAGGCTCAACAGCAGACCATGTGTGGACATGGCCTAGCAGCTACAGCTCCAACAGAAAATGCACTGCCATTGTGGCCCAGGATGTAATCCTTGCTGAGCATGGGATCTTCAAAACATTATTTCTGGGCCTGGAGAGTAAAGAATCATAATGAGCCGGGTGGCGGTGGGTGCATGCCTTTAATCCCAGCACACGGGAGGCAGAGCCAGGAAGTGGAAGTATTGGTGGAAGTATTAAGGCAACTCTACCTAGTTAAAAGGGAGGTTTATTTTGTGGGGTAACTTACAAGTGAAGGGATAGGTTACAGGGTCTGGGAAAGGTGTAGCGCAGTCCAGCAGTGTTCTCTGGAGAACTCTGCTCTGTCTACCTCCAGCGTCCAGGATCCAGGAACCAAGAGCACCTGCACATCCTGATCTCAGGTCTTCTGGGCTCCTGTCTCGGCCCTGCCCCATAGGCGTGGCAGTTACCAGAAGACTCAGTGGGGGTAGTATTTCCAGGTCAAAGCTGGAACAGCTACCCACTGCAAATCTGAGTTTGAGGCCAGCCTCGTCTACAGAGCAAGATCCAGGACAGGCACCAAAACAACACAGAGAAACCCTGTCTCGGGGGTGGGGGAAGGAACCATAATGATCTAGCTGCCATCATAGTATGTATGTACTAGGCACCCAACTGATGGTCAAATATGCTAGAACCATACTTTTCCTCATTTTTTTTTTTCGAGACAGGGTTTCTGTGTAGCTTTGCGCCTTTCCTGGAACTCACTCTGTAGCCCAGGCTGGCCTCAAACTCACAAAGATCAGCCTGCCTCTGCCTCCCAAGTGCTGGGATTACAGGCATGCGCCACCACCACCCAGCTCTTTTCCTCATTTTTTAAAACGAGATTCTTCTAATATTTGTAATTAAGTATCAAATAACTCAGGCTGGCCTCAAACTTACTATGTAGTGGAGGATACACTTTTCTGATCCTCTTGCCTCTACATCTTGAGTGCTGGGATTACGGGTATCCACAACCACACCTAGTTTAGGCTGTGAAGTTGCTCAAACCCAGGGCTTCATGCATTCTAGATGACTCTACCAATCCGAGCTACATCTCCAGTCCAATAAACACTTCTTGAATGTATTCCCTTGACAAACACCTGCTGGGATCCCAGAGCACACCAAACACAGCACTTGTGCTTGTACAGGGGCTATGAAGAGCCAGAGGATGCTGTCAGCAAGGTATCCAGCTGAGCAAGAAGACCAGTGATGACTAAGAAAGCATGCATCATCCAGTGGAATGCCAGTAAAGGGACACGGCTCCTTAGAGAAATGACTGACTCTAGAGCTGGAGCCGGGAGTTTCCAAGGTGAGCCTGCAGCATCTTGTAGGGACAGACAGACAGTGCTGCAGCATGCACATATACACACAATTGTGGGTGCACAGCAAAGGAGAAGCAGGAGTCAAGGGGAAAGGTGGAAACAATCTGAACATCAAAATAATGAAGGTAGCATGGGGGTGTAATGCAAAGAACAGAATAAATACACAGAGTGTGTGCTGATATAAAAAAGGTGATTGGAGGGCCAGGCGCTGGTGGTGCACACCTTTAATCCCAGGACTCGGGAGGCAGAAGCAGACGGATCTCTGTGAGTTCAAAAAGCCAGCCTGGTCTACAGAGCGAGATCCAGGACAGGCACCAAAACGACACAGAGAAACCCTGTCTCAGAAAAGAAAAAAAAAAAAAGGTGATTGGAAGAACTGACAAAATACATCTGCAAAAACTAACAGACGATCCCACACCTTAGGTATAGGCTGTGCAAGTGATCTCATCAGAGAAGTGCTATGTGGAAGTGGGGAAGAGTGACCTTGCAGGGCAAAAGCTGACAGGCAACACCTCAGCCACTTGGCCAAGATGGGCATTAGCAGTAAGGGGCCAGTTCAGTACAGTTACTGTAATGATATGTGGAGGGTAACTCTTTCCTTCCATGGTCATTCTCTCGAAGAATTTTACCCCTATCCAATCCTGCAGACAGAATCAGACAACCCCCAAGGAAGGGGTCTACTAAATACAACATGAGCCTTTTGTTGAATGAATAGACAAATGTTAGCTTTTATTTCAAAGAATACGTTATTTTCCTCTCTTCCAGGCATGGAGAACTATGCCAGGGAAAATGCAATCTGGTCCTGTGTTTCCAGATTGGACAGTGAGTGCCTGAGCAATGGGACAGGACCCCATCCCTGAGCACATGTACCAGCTGCCAGGCAGAGGGAGTGGCAGTCTCTCCCTTCTGCTCCTTTTGCAAAGGGACAAGAGGACATTCAGGGGAGAAATATTCAAAAGAGCCTCTTGTGCTCATGTCTTCCCATCTCATATTGCAGAATCTACACCTTGCGCATTTTGTACTCTTTAAATGTAGGGCCTTAGAAGTCACCATTGCAATGCAAGGGGAGGGAGTAATCAAACCAATTCAGGTCCCCAGCTACAAGCAGGTCTACAAGGATCTTTCTCAGTGGGGTACAATGCTTTCTGATGGTCGTCTGTCTCCAGAAAGCTTTCATGTCTGAACCAAATCTACATGATCTGTCACCATGCCAGGCACCTTTGTGCCACATGTTTAGTTAACTGACTTTTCAGTTTCCTAATGAGAAGCTCATCAAATCAGTAAGCTCACGTGGTCTACATGAATTTCTGCTGCAACAAGCCTTCCCGATAAGGAGTGAAAATTGAACAATAAGGGTAAGTGGTAAGAAATACACGACAAGATCAAAGGCCTCTGAGCCAGCATAGATGATCTGAACAACAACAAAAAGTTAACTACTTGTTGAGAGGGCTCCTCTTTGGACACCTGTGTAATAAGGCAATCCTTGGGGCTCTCTTGTCTGACTTCTGTCCCATGTGGTCCTGGAGCATCTTCCACTGGCCTGCATCTGGCACTGTCTTACAAGGAGCCAGAACCAGGGGTAAGATCATGTCATTCTATAGGAAGAAGCAAGAGTTGTTTTCCGGGATTACCTGCTGTGCCGGTTCAGCTCTTCCAAGCAATGCACCAATACTTATGGACCCATACCTGCTATGCGCAAAGTGCCCGTGATTGTAGGAAAGAAGAAAGGGGAGAGAAAGCCAGAACTTCAAACTTAAATCTCACCATCTTCAAAGAAGTGTACAGTCTGCTTGGGGTGAGGGTGGGGGTTTGCTTTCCTGTGGCCACAGGTGAGCTTGCCTGGAGTGCGTGCTTCCAGTGGGATGGAGAGAGAACTAACCCTGTGCTGGGGCCAGGCTGTGGGAGGCAGGGAGGAACACAAGGGCAGCATCCCTGGGGTCCAGGCCATTCCAGGGACCACCCAAATGCTCTAAATTTGGATGATTCGGGCCAATTCTGAGAACCTTGTGTTCAAGTATTTTAGAAGGTGGGTTTTTATAAAGTGTTGGCTCAACTTCCATGACCTGGGAGAGACATTTTAGGAAACACTATTAATTCTTTTTTTTTGTGAAAGAATATGACCCAACAAGTAGAATATAGCTAAGGTGGGGACAGTATAATTACCAACCAATTTTGTGGAATAAGCAAGTTACACATCTCTTGTCTGATGTAGGATAAGGCAAGCTCTGTAAAGCCCAATCCCTAAATGGCTTCCAACATTTCCGGCCCGGTAGCCCCCACACCACCCTCTGTGTTTTCTCCCACTTTTCCCTACCCTGTCTGTGACAGCAGACCTAGTGGGGTCTCCCAGCGACACCAGACCAGAGGGAAATCCACTTCACTTCCCTGGAGGAGGCTTGAAGGGATTCAGGTGACTAATAAAAGCAACACTTGTGACTCCTAAGTGGCCATTAATGAATAAAGAGCCCCCAGGCTGCACTGGAGGAGAGGATGCCCAAAGGGTCCACAAAGGAGGATGAAAATAAGCCAGCTGCCTCCTTAACGCTGCTACCAACAGAAGCAACTCCCTACTGACGCAAGGCCCACTTGCCCAAAGCCTTGGCGTTCTGGGCAGCCCTCACCTCATTACTTGAGCCTTCCAGTGTCCAGTCCCAGCAAGGCCTCAGCGGGCAACTCTTCCCTGCCCTTGTTGGGACCTGGCTGAGCTTGCCCATCGCGGTCCACGCTCCACCCACATCCACGAGAAGGGACATGCCTTGTGTCCCCAACCCAAGCCTGGCGCTTAGGCTGGTACTTCTCCTAGGGGACTCTTGTCGTGGTCCCTGACCCCAGAGGAAGGGTCTCACCTGAGTCCTCTAATCTACGCCCCCTAAGACGGACCCGTCCTGATCCCCTAACCCTACAAGGAAGGGCCCCCTGCTTCCTGCTCCACAAAAGGGGACCCGCCCCGCGCCCCCAGCCCGGAGGGAGGGCGGTGCACACCTCGCCTGCTGGCGCGACGTGTGCCCGCGCTCCTCTCCCGCAGCCCTCCCGTGCGGCGTCAGGCAGAGGCGGGGTAGGGCGCGGTTAAAAGAAGCCGCAGGTGGAAACCGGGGCTCCACCCACACAGTCCCCGATTCCGTTCCCGCTGCGAACCGTGGGCGCCGGATCCGACCTGCGCGCCCGACCAGAGCTGTGGACACCGCTGCAAGCCGGGAGCCGGATCACACCGAGCAGGTAAGCGCGAGTGGGAGAATTTCCTCCGAGAAGCCCGAGTAGGTGAAGGAAGTGGACTGTCCCCTTCCTCGCCATATTTGCCCCTGTGGGGCCCGGGAGTAGCGGCAGTCCCCAGGTGGCCTGGTGGTCACAGGCAGAATCTTGACGGTGTGGTGGGTTCCCGCACCCGGGCTGCCCGCATCCTTATCTGCCTCCCATCGGCATCCCAGCGGCATCCCGAAGCCTTTGTGTGCCCCCAGCGGACTAGAACCGCTGCGGGGTGGTTATCATCCCCACCGTCCCCTCCCCCGCGCGCTTCTCCAGAAACTGGGATCAACTGGTTTGACTTCTGCACACATCGTGCCCCTCTGACTTGCACAACAGGTTTTAGAAATACGTCAAGTTGTGTAAAGTGACCAGAGTCCGGACTGAGTCCTTTTCCCCACTTCCTTTGCTGGTTTTGGGCTGTCTTTGATTTGGAGGTTATCGACCTGTTCCACTTGGGTTTGGGGAGCGGAAATGCAGAGCAAAAGAATGATGTTTAAGTTCAGTCCAACCCCGAGACTTGGAGCAATGGATAAGTGTTGGACAGAAATGTCCATCCAGGTTGCATGATTAAGACTCAGGAACTTATGAAACAAAGATGACAGTAGTGTGCACAACAGTAATTAAAAGTAATTGGTGACACATCTGATTAAAAAGTTCAGACACGGGTAGTATTTCCTTGTTGGGTGAACGAGCCTCGTCCCAGGTGTTAGCCTGGTTTTTGCAGACTTGGGCTCCCTTCTCTTCCTGGAGACCTGGCCTCGGGTCTCAGAGAGTGTGGCCTTCATCTAGCTGTGGACATTGGAAGGGGTATGGATGTACAGCCGAGGTAAGAGACACCAACTAAGAGACTTGAGTCAGTTTGTGCCTGCAGCCTTGTTTCCTTCAAGTAGACTTTATGCTTTCTTTGCCCCAGTTCCAGCAGAATCTAAGCAGTGTTCTAGAAGAAAACGTCCTGTCCTGGTGCAGTTTCCTTAGAAGTGCAGGATACTGCTCAGAACTGCCCCTGTAGAGAGCTTTGTCAGCTCTTTGGATCCAGCAGAGTCTGTGGGGGGTGTTGTCTGAACAGTGCCAAGGAGGGGAGGTGGTGATGGAGAGAGCCGCCCGCTGGGGTGCTAGCCTGTCACTGGGGTGTGAAGGGTTCTCGTTCATCTCACCACTGTTACTGAGACCCAGAAGACTAGCCTATCCATCTGGGTCACTGGTGGCTGTTATTAAAGGTAAATTCTCATAGTGACTTTTTTCTTTCTTTCTTTCTTTCTTTTTTTTCCCTTTGCACTGTAAGAGAAGGAAAAGAGCTGGGTAGGGTCTTTCAACAATTTCAGCAATAGAAAGAAAATTCTGACTTGCACATCCTCACCATGCAGTTCTTCTGATTCAGTCTAAAAGTTCCAGAGACTAAGAATTTGGGTGTAGTGGTTAAGTGGAATACAATTAGGGGAAAGTTGCTTTCAACCCAAATGTCTTGGCCCCTTAGGACATAATTTTGCATTGTCCTGACTAGGATTTTCAGGAGCTGTTGCTTGATCTGGGAGAGTGGAACTGGACCCCGGAAGCCTCCCCCACTTCACCCCCTAGAGTCATTTAATTGTAATGGAATCTAAATGAAATGTTTGGAGAGGGGAGAGCTTTGCTTGGAGCAGGCAACTGCTAAGAAGGCCTATGAAAGGGGTGTTGAACTTAATGAGAATATGTTTTGTAACTCAAATGGAATAAGAGACATCATTTTGTGGTTTGTCCATTCTTACATTTAAAGGCATGGCAAAAGTTTCATTTGTACTGAGTTGATGTTGACAAAGTATATGAATCCTAAACCTGATGCCATCACTAGTCACTGTTTTGAAATCACAGCTCCTGATGGTTTGCATCATTAAATTTCAAACTCGACTATCAGGTTGTCTCTTGGGTCACCTGAGATTTCTGGAGACTTCTTGGTGAAAGAAAGGCTTTTGAGATTTGTTTTGAACTCTGTGATTGGGAGGCTGGCTGTACCCAGCTTCTCAAACTCTTTGCCACTCTTTGCATACTTGAAAATTGGGGTTGAGGTTTGGGATAGAGTATATCATCATCATCACCATTGTTACCATGATTACAGGGAAATAAGCCTGCACTGGAGAGTGCCTTTGATGGGGTGGAACAGCACAGAGCATAGGAAACTGACTGTACCCAAATTTACCCTTTAATGGGTCTGGTGATCAAGGAAAGCTACCCATAAAGTTCACCCAGTGAACTTGCGCAGAATTTGAATGAATATGGCAACAATGATGTTTTTTTCCATTCAACAGGTGACATTCCCACTGCCATCCATAAACAGAGCAGCATTGTGGGGCCTCATCACTGCGCTCCTAACTTCCGGAGGAGTAGGAGGAAGAGGCAGAAGTCCTTGCAGAGGGATTTCACCTTGGCTCTTGAGCTGGACACACTGGGAGTCCTTGGGAATAAGACTCAGGTTTGGGAGTTTTGTTTGGACCTGGTTACCTTGTATCCTCAATTCTACAGATCTCACATGGGCCTTGTAAGGAGTGTGCTTTCCTCTTGGATCTATTAAGTAATCATCAAGTGATTTTTTTTTTCAAAGTGTACTTACTGTAGATTGATCTAGAAAAAGAAAGCTCTTTCTGTGTGCTGAGGGATTTGGTTTGGGTTCTGTCTTCCTTGGAGCTAAAATGGCATTATTCAGCCAGCATGATTAAATTCCTAGGTAAAAAGTTTCGTCTCTTCCTTTGCTGAACACACTGACCTGAATCAGAAGGCAAGGCTCTCTCTCCTCTTCCCCATGCCCTCCTCCTAACAGCCGCTGACATTGACAGCGCATCTACCCAGATGTTTTCTCTTCAACTCTAATAAAACTGTCCTCAACCTCCAAATACCAGAAGCTTCAAAAGCCAGTTATTATGACATATACCTGTAAATCTCAGCCCTCAAGAAGCTGAGGCAGGGGGATTATTATGAGCTTAAGGTCACCCTAGGAATACAAGGCTGGTCAGAGACACACAGCAAGACCTTGTCTCAAAACAAAATCGGAAAACTGATCATGAAATTTCATCACTGCTGGAACAAAAGTAGACCCGGCTTATTTGAAATGTGCAAGGGGAGAACAAATGTGCTTCATAATTGTATGTCTCAAAAGTTAGCTCGTTGATGTATTTTTAGAGTTACATATTTATGGCTGGAATTATAATATCAAGAATTAGTGTAGAATTGTGCCCTGTAACTAAATACATCACAGAAATAGATGTAATGTGTCCTCTTAAGCCTAAATGCAACCACATTCTTGCAAGGTGACATCTGTGGAGCTAAGCTTTATCTATTTATTTGTTCCTTATAGGCAAGCCAGGAAGCTGTCAGATTAAACAAACTTCTCTGGTATACAAAGAAAGAGTTAATAGCTTGGTTTTCACTGAAAAGCCTCCTCCCATCAGCTCAGCCCCTAGAAGCACGGAACAAAACTTTTGCTCACTGCAGTTAGCCAAGGGTTTTGGTGGCTGAGGTCATTTGAGAAATTTCTTGTAAATCAGTGACCATTTTTTACATGGTGGGTCCTTCCACTCCTCTCCCACCAAAGTATTTAAGAAAGATGCCTCAAGGTCATGGGTTCCTACAAGAAGATGGGGTGCAGGAACTTCCTAGGACCTGTCTTCATCCCGCCTCCCACTGGCCTAGGTACCTCTTGCCCACTGATAAGGCCGGGCAAAGGGCAAGTCCTTTAATCTTTAGTAGCCCAGCACCTCCACCCCTCAGGTGCTCCTTGGGTGGGGAAGAGTCTCCCAGAAGCAGCCAGGCTTTCCCAGGAACTGAAGTCATGTATCCGGAAGTGCAGGGTTCAGGAACCCCCAAACTGCCTATCACCCTGGACTGGCTCCTAATACTTACTTGTAAGGTGATCTCCACCAACTTGCTTTTGGCCTGTGGAAAATGCTATGTAGGACAGATACCCAGGCTTTATGGAAGACACCCTCAGGAATGACATGGTCTAAACAAAGAATCTGCAAGAGCCATCTCACTGCTGGAAAGGGCTAACCCAAGTTCACCTCATGTCCTTGGTACAGCCACTTAGGGCCAGGGTGAACTATAGAGATTGGTATTCTCACCCATTTCTTCTGTTATAAACAAAAGGGTCTTTATTACTTTTCAGGAAGACCCTCCCCCCTTGAATCGGGTGACCTGCTTTTTGCTGGATTGTCTTGAGTGACCAGTAGACTAAACATGCTGGAAATATTTGAATTTAACCTTGTTTTCCTTAGTGACTTAGACTGTTGTAGTCTTTTAAAGCAATGGTTCTCAACCCGTGGGTTGTGAGCCCTTATGGGGTTGGAATGACCCTTTTGCAGGGTCGTTCCTACGATATTCACATTAAGGCCTAAGATATTTACAGTATGATTCATAACAGTAGCAAAATTACAGGTATGAAGTAGCAATGAAAAAAATTATGGTTGGGGGGTCAGCGCAACATGAAGAACTTTAGTAAAGGGTGGCAGGAAGGCTGAGAACCACTGCTCTAGACTTTTGGATCCATTGCTGAGGCTGTTTTTCCTTCGTAGTTTTTGTCTGAAGTATTTGCTTGAGACAGGCTCTTGTAGCCCAGGTTGGCCGGGGGCTTCCAGTCCTTCTGTCCAGGTTCCCATGTGCTAGAATAGAGGCATGCACCACCACGCATAGCCAAACTCATGGCTTTAAATATTAAAGTAAGTTAAGCATATTGAAAATTGAATGTCTTCTATTCAGATGCAGTAAGTGGATAGAAAGAAAGTCTTCAGAATATTTAATTCAGAGGCCCAGGGTGGGGGTGGGAGCAAACAGTAAAGCTAGTGCCTCTATCTGTCCTGATTCTTGGGGTGTGGAACCAATATTCTTAGGAAGAAAATATGATCCCTCCACCGCCTCTGTGACCTCAGCCCCTCAGCATTCATTCAAGCTCTGTGGTTCTTTGACACCTCCCTCATCCATTCACTTCTTAGAAGTCAGGTGACCAGTGAGAAGGGATGTGATGGAGAGCTTACCGAGGAAGCAGCCCGCAGTGCGCTGTGGACTTGGCAGCACTGGGTGGGGGAGGGAACGCTCTTACTTGATAAACCTCATCCATGGGTCCAGTTGTTGAGCAAACTACGGAGTGTGATTGGTCAACGAGAGAACGTTTTTAAAACCAACAAGACCTCATGGGGGATGAGCTGTGGCAAAGTATGTGTGAACGGCAAGACTTCCACACTTCCGCCTCCTCACAGGCCACAATACTGACATGCCTCCAGGACACGGCAGTAACAGTCAGGGAAATTTAATATAGTGTTCTTCGGTAAGAACTAAAACTTCATTTTCATAATTCGCTTTATTTAAGATGAAGTTTTATTTTTATTTATTTATTTATTTATTTATTTGTTTATTTATTTATTTTTTGGTTTTTCGAGACAGGGTTTCTCTGTGCAGCTTTGTGCCTTTCCTGGAACTCACTTGGTAGTCCAGGCTGGCCTCGAACTCACAGAGATCCACCTGGCTCTGCCTCCCGAGTGCCGTTTATTTTTAACCACACAGATACTTATAGTGGGGAATGAAAGTCTCTTTGGGGCATGAAGTACATAGTAAATAAGAGAGAACTCTCAAGTTGTGGAGCTTCTGCCTGTGGCTTCCCAGTGATCCATCTCTCTGCCTGACGGGACTCAGCTTGTCTCTGTCCAAAGCTTGCATAGCTTTACCAAGAGCCTATTTCAATTTTTCAGACTCCTAGCTTTGTCTTAATGCTAAATACACAACCCGGCTTCTAAGTTCCAGATCAGCACAAGGTTTGAATCTTTCTGCTACAATTGCCAAGGCTGCTTGCCAGGTGCCCCACAGTCCAAATCCTCAAACTTTTTTGCTTCGGCCTTTTAGCCGATCCCCTTGTAAAATAAAAGACCCTCATTCAAGACTCTGACACCTACTTAGAGTCCCACAGGTGCCCCCAGAATGCCAGGATCTTCCTGGGATCACGGAGTGAGTATGTCTTCAGGGAGCCTGGACACTCGGTTCTTCTCGTGTAGCCTAAGTCATTTTTCCATAGTAATACAAAGACACTAAAGTCCTGCTGATAACAATGCTCCTCATACAGAGCACTGATACTCTTTAACTACAGAGTTATGACGTGTTATTAAAGGAACTGTGAGGATGCAACTATGTTATTGACGTTATGAGATGTCTACAAACATTAACTAGGATGTTGTCAATGTCATTGCCCAATTGCTACAAAGTAACTAAAGAGCGTCATTTTAGACCTTTGCTGGAGGTTAAACAGAAGTACCCTAGGTCAGGCCCCGGGTTCCCCGGGTTTGGTTCAGCTGATAGAGTGCTCACCTAGCACACACAAAGTTCTGGAGTTCCCTCCCCAGCATTATGAACAAGTAAATAGATACTTTTTATTGGTTGCCAATTAAAATTGTACTGTCTGGAGGGAGACATGGTGGAACATACCTGTAATCTCAACTGAGGAGGTAAAGGAAGGAGAATCAGGAGTCCTAGGCCAGTCTGGGCTCCATGAGACTGTCTCAAAAGCAAAAACAACAACAGCAGAAGTTAACCATAGCCATATAATCCAAGGAATGTAGCCACTGCTTTGTTGTGCATTGAGCACAAGTATCTCTCTTACCTTTTCACATTGTGGGTTTTTGACTTTTGTTTTCTCATTTTGTTTTTGTTTTTACAGACTCAGGCCTCTCCGGTAACCTTTGGTCTGAGTTGTCCCATCTCTCTGTGGCTTTAGGTTCCCAACCCTCACCTGCCTCTCATAACAATGGACACAGTTTTTGAGAAGCTTCATTCCTCCACTTTTGCAAATCCTCAAGGATGGAATTCAATTCCCCTTTTCTTTTTCATTAAAAAAAGTTAAGATTTAACTCAGCCTGGGCTGAATTAAAATCATTGTGTGCATTTGCACCTGTACTGGGGGCGAGCAAGCAAGCCCAGGTTCAGTGTGGCTACGAATCCAGATGTTCTGGTGACAGCCCTGTAGTCACAGCATGTGATCAGCTTTTGCAACTGTGAACTTTCTGATGTTCTGGCCCGTGGCAAGAGGACCAATTCTTGAAACCAAATCATGGACATTTCTAGCGATACCCCTATCATGCCTGCTTCTATCCCCCACGGTGTGCACCTCAGCTGCCGCATTCGGACCCAGCAGGACAGACAGCATCACACAAGGGTCAGGTGATGTGGTAGCTACTTGATGAGCCCAAACCTGGTGGCTTTCCGAGAAAACATAGACTCTAACATTAGTCAAACCCAGGACAACCCAGGGGACGTGGCGGGCAGTGTGAGGAGTGGCCAGCGATGCTGAGGGCAGGCTGTGGACCAGGCGTGGTTAGACACTGACCATGGTTAACTTGGGGGAAAGTTGGACAGTGTTCCTCGCCCACTTCTAAGAGAGAGTCTCCTGAGACCAGCAGCAAAAGGACTTTGGTGACTCTTCCATCCCCTCCAAGTGGATGGAAACTTGCTGACTGTCTTTGTTTCTAAAGATTTTCAGTGTCTGTCATTCATTACTCCCACACACATACACACTTAAAAAAAAAAAAAACCAAGAGCATGCCAACCAATTCTTTCTTCTTGGTGATGTGGGATAAGAAGCAGCTGTTTGAATTATAGTGAGAGTTGCCATAGAACCATGGTTCTCAACCTGTGGGTCTTGTCCCCTTGGAGTTTAAACGACCCTTTCACAGGGGTCACCTAAGACCATCAGAAAACACAGATATTTACATTATGATTCATAACAGTAGAAAAATTACAGTTATGAAGTAGCAACAAAATAATCTTATGGTTGGGGGTCACCATGCCATGAGGAACTGTATTTAAGGGTCGCAGCATTAGGAAGGCTAAGAACCACGGCTGTAGAGGAAAGAGGATCCTTTTCTCTCAGGTTGTCAAATCAGTCTTTTAGAAAGAAGGAACATCCTGGGCTTCTGTGGCCCCTGGTGCAATGGGACCCGTATTTTTGAGCAACAGCCAACACATGGCCTGCTTCCATCGGAGAACAAGGAAACAATTTGTGTCAAACCTTGTGATTCTCTTTTGGGGACGATAGTTGAAGATATTAACTTTCCTGAGAGCACATGATAGCAGCAGATGGTCCATTCGAGCTAGAAATAAATACACACTGTATAAGGTCAACTGACAGCGCTGTTTCTTCTTAGTCTGCTAAGTAAACCATACTACATCATTCTAATGAGTGATTTTTGCTGTTATTTTGTGGTTTGGATAAAGTGCTTAATTACTAAAACCTATGGCGGAAGTTCTAAGTCCCTCAGTAAAACCACAATGATACAATGTGTGCATTTACCTAGTGAAGAAAGGGAATTTGGGCACGAGTTTGTTTACCTGTGTTCTTGGGTTAATGACAAACACCACCTAATACACAACCTGTGTTCAATTGAACTTAGGTAACTTATATTGCATGTGAAAGGCACAATTCTTATACTAAAAGCGAAATCAAGTACCTATTTACTGTGCTGATCATTTATTAAAACCCCTCACCTAGTAAGGAAGCTGTCGGGTTGATGCTGCCTCGTAGGTGGAATACATGAAGTTTGTCCACTATTTGTGACTTGTGGTCAGAAATGAGAGAACATCTTTATAATGGCCGTTCCTTGTCAGAAAAGCACATAGTAAATTCATTCCTCTTCTCCCCACGGATAAACTTACAGGCAGTTTCGTGTCTGTAGTAGGCCTGTAGTTGAGACCTGCCTAGATTCACGTGACCTTGGAATTTCACTATCAGAGTGGTTGGTTAATTCAGAGGTGCCTTCCACTAATCAGCTCTGCTCCTTTGTGTCTATTTAGGAATAAACCCGCACGATGGATTGGGGGACCCTGCACACTGTCATCGGTGGTGTGAACAAGCACTCCACCAGCATAGGGAAGGTGTGGATCACGGTCATCTTCATTTTCCGAGTCATGATCCTTGTGGTGGCGGCCCAGGAAGTATGGGGTGATGAGCAGGAGGACTTTGTGTGCAACACTCTGCAGCCAGGGTGCAAGAATGTCTGCTACGACCACTTCTTCCCAGTGTCCCACATCCGGCTCTGGGCCCTGCAGCTCATCTTCGTGTCTACGCCAGCACTGCTGGTGGCCATGCATGTGGCCTACTACAGACATGAAACGGCTCGTAAGTTTATCCGTGGGGAGAAGAGGAACGAATTTAAAGACCTGGAGGACATCAAACGGCAGAAGGTGCGCATCGAGGGCTCGCTGTGGTGGACATACACCAGCAGCATCTTCTTCCGCATCATCTTTGAAGCCGCCTTCATGTATGTGTTCTACTTCCTCTACAATGGGTACCACCTGCCCTGGGTGCTGAAATGCGGCATTGATCCCTGCCCCAATCTTGTGGACTGCTTTATTTCGAGGCCAACCGAGAAAACGGTGTTTACGGTGTTTATGATTGCCGCATCTGTGATTTGCATGCTACTCAATGTGGCCGAGCTGTGTTACCTGCTGCTAAAATTGTGTTTCAGGAGATCCAAAAGAACACAGGCTCAGAAGAACCATCCCAACCATGCCCTGAAAGAGAGCAAGCAGAATGAAATTAACGAGCTGATCTCAGATAGCGGTCAGAACGCAATCACAAGTTTCCCAAGTTAAGTTTGTCAAGTGTAGGTGAGCCCTGACACAGCAAGCTCCCTCTCTGTAGACGACAGCACTCTGACTGCTCCCTGTAGGTGAAGAGTTTGTCTATAAATGACTCATAGCAAATAGATACTTGAGTTCAATTTTTGTAGAACACCTGAGCTACTCACACACAAGTCAAAACTGAGGTCCATCTCTGAAAACAAAATCCTGGTGACTAATGAACCTTGAAGTCACCTTGACAAGTCCTGTGGAGACTGTCTGACTTAGTATGGATTTCCTGAGAATTTATATAACTTGTTAATAAAGAGCGATTTGTCTAGAAATTAATAGTTTTATCAGTAAGATATTTTTATAGGATTGAATATTTTTAGTTCTGACTTTGAACTTATATATAAAGTATTTTTTTATGACTGGCCTTCCTTACCTGGAAAAAAATACACAAAGTTAGCTTTGCAAGTGTGCCCCAAGTTTCTAAAGTTTGAACTTGTAAAGGGTCTAGCATCTTATGAATATTGTTTCACACTGTCTGAGGAGAGTTTTATGAACTAGTGTGTGCTCTTAAGGTGGGATGTGTTCACTGGACAATATATGTTGCTGCTTGCTGAATACAGATGGGACTGAAGGAAATGGGACACTTTTAAAAACTGGCCTTCTCCACTTATGGTGAACAGTGCAAACACGAATGTGATCACCCCAATAAAGCTTGACCCTGTCGCTTAAGCCTGTCTACACTGTGGGTTTCTGTTCCCTCCAGGACTCCACCATCATTACCAGAGGTGATGAGTTTTTGCTGGGGAGATACCAGTTGCTATGGGTGTAGGTGCCTGGGTTTCAAGAAGCATGCTTGTATCCTCATGTCTGTGAGCAACCTCAGCTTGGAGAGGATGCTCATAGGACTTCGGGAATGTCTTCTTGGTCAGCTCAGCCTTGATGGTGCTCCTGTAATCTTAGCACTTAGGAGGCAGCAGAGGCAAGAAGAGGTCCTACTGGCTACATAGTGAGTGAGTTAGCCTGGGCTAAATATTAAGACCCTACATCAAAAACTTAAACTAAAACAAACAAACAAACAAAAAACTTAAAAAGAGAAGAGCGGAAGGAAGTCTTACACAAATATCTTGGTCCATTTTGTGATATTATAACAAAATGCCAGAGACTAGGTGACATGGAGGCTGAGCTCTCATAAGGGTCTTCTTGGTCATCAGAACATGGAGGATAGCTCTGTGGTGGGAGTGGGTGTGAGAGGGAGGGATCACACACACACACAGCATAAAGAGGGTCAGTGAGTCAGGGATGTGTCAGGTTGCTTATCGCAACCTCCTTTAGGGGTTCCCAGAAGACCTGCACTCATCCCTACTAAGGGCATGCTCCCATGACCTAAGTGCCTTCCGATAGGCTCCTCCCACAGGTGGGCGATAGGCCACCTCAACATCACCCACCTGTTACTGACGTGCAACACTCTCAAACCACACCCAGCCTGCAGCAGCCTCAGACAACGCTGACCTGGAAGGACTTGTTGCCTGAGCCCTTTGGTCCACAGTGACTGAGCACTGGTACCTCACACCCAGGGATTTCCAGATTGGACACACAGGCCTCCCAGTGGGTGTGGGTGAGTCAGTGTAGACTGGTCACTCTGGAGAATCATGAAATAGGAACACAGCCTCTCTGGCAAGGGCTTGTTAGCATGCTGCTCAATGCTTTGCCATCCCAAATGACTAATGACATTAACTGGAGGACACCTAGTCAATGCCAAGCATAAGAGGGCTTGACACAGCACTCCAGTTCCTAAAAGACCTGTTCTGGAGCCTCTCCCTAGAAGAACAAACAAAGGAGTAATTCTCCAATTCCCGTGGGGGTAGGTAAAGCAGACATATAAATCCCAGACATATTCCATCTATAAACAAGTTAGTGCCAATGTAGAAAGCAAGAACCAACCTTTAAAACAACACCACAGTTCCATCACTGTGAATAAGATCCAGTCAGCCTTTGTAAGTCCTGATTGCCTTCCGATGTCCCTTTCTTTTGAATGGAAGGGGGGCTTTCAGGGACAGACATTGCAGCCTTGGGCACAATCCCAGTCTGCATGGAAGAAGGGCTTCCCACCTTGCTCTTGAGACTGCCCTTCTCCTGCAGGACAGACTGGCCCTCCTTCCTTCCCTTCCTCCCTCCTCCTCCTCTCTCCAGCTTTGAGGTATAATTGATACACACAGATCTGCATATGTTTAATGTGTCTATTTTGGTGAGCTTTGAACTCTGTAACTACCTGGGATTCCAGTACAAATTTGGGGTAATACTCGACCTACTCTTCTAAAGGTTTCCTGGTGTCCCTTTATTTTTGTACAAAAAAAAGGAAAGAAAGAAAGAAAAAGAAAAAAAAGGGAGGGAGGGAGGGAGGGAAAACAAACACAAATTCTTAAATTTAACAGGAGACCCACCATCAGCACAAATGCAGAGGAGGTACAACACTGCCTTGTTTTGTTGTTTGGTGTTTTGATGTTTTGTTGTTTGTTCAGTGTTTTGATGTTTTTGTTTGTTTGTTTGGAGTCGGAGTTTCTCTGCACAGCCCTGACTGTCCTGGAACTCACTCTGTAGCCCAGGCTGGCCTTGAACTCACAGAGATCCTCCTGCCTCTGCCTCCCAAGTGCTGGGATTAAAGGCATGCACCATCTCCCAGCTACAATATCACCTTGTTAACTGCAGGCTCAATGTGCCGTAAATCTCCAGTAGAGCTCAAACGTCTGTGATCACTGAAATTTCATACCCATTAAACTATAATTTCCTCAAGCCTCACCCCAGCCTTGGATACCACCCTCATATTCTTTACTCCTGTAAGACTATTTTAGCCACCTCATAAAAGTGGAATGATATGGCGTGTGTCTTTCTGTTTCACTGAATGTAGTGTTCCCCGGGTTTGCTCATGCTGTAGCAGAAGGTAGGCTTGCTTCCCTTTTAAGGTTGAATAGTATTCTATTACATGTATACACTGTATTTTTCTATATATGTATACCCCATATTTTTCTTCACTGATGTGTCAAAACTATGACAAGACATCACCTGACATCTCTCAGGATGCCGATGTCAACATAGCAAATCAAAAACACAGGTGCTAGAGAGGACGCGGGGAACCTGGAACCACTGCATTGCTGGGGGATGGGAAACCGTGCGCGGCTTCCAGTAAATACCAAAAGCAGACCTCACATTTACACTTCCATGTGCACAGAAGCACCATCCCCAAGAACCGGGAGAGGGAAACGGCCCTCCTTGCTAGTCAACACCTTCCTCTCCGACCCTCAGTGTCCCTAGGGTCCCTCCCCTCAGGCCACTGTGTCTCCTCCCCCACCTCGTTGCCACTGTTCTGAGAATGAGCATCATTCCTCTCCCCACACCTATTTCTCAGCGTTGAGTCCAGGCCCACTTTCTCCACTGGACCAACACCATTATCGGCATGGAAGACCTGAACACCCACCCCCAGGGCTTCTCAGCTAGCCTGCTACAACTTTTAAATCTTTTCCTGGATTTTGGCACACTGGCCCACCGGCAACTGTGCCTCTCTCCTCTATTCACTTTGCTTCCGGTCTCTTTCTTCAGGCCAAGTGCCTGCTCAGAGCCTCCCTTTCCTCGCCTTACATTCTTCCTTGGCAGTGTCATCCGTCCGCATCTGGTATTTGCCCTACAGGGTAAGAAGTTCAGTGGTTTGCCCAGGGTCACAGCGATAAAGAGCAGCAGAGGAAGATTCACACCAGGTGTGTCTGCAAAGTCTGGAGCCTCACCGGCCCTGCAGCTCATGAGCAGCCCACATGTCTGGAGAGACAGAGGTGAGAAGATCTGTTCAAGGTCATCCTCAGCTACGGAAGGAGCACAAAGCCAGCCTGCCTCAAAACAGAACAAAACCAGAACCCGTGTGTCTACCCCATGGGACATGTGACCTCCAGCTGGCGAACCATCCTTAAAATCCCACCTGCTTCTCCTTCACTCTGGATAGCCCTGAGGGAAACCCCGACCATCACCATTTCACTGGTATCTTAGTATGAATCGTTTAGAAACAGGAAAGCGAGGCATAAAATGACTAATTCCCAGCTCCTGAGAGCTGTTGCGATTGTTTTCGAGGGAAGTGTTTACATCCCATAGTCTTCATTTTTATTCCCTGTGTGCACGTTTTTTAGATGGGGTTTCAGTACATAGCCCAGGCTACATGCAAACATCATTTTTCTGCCTCCACCTCCTAGTTCCAAGTGTGCCCCATGTCCGGCACCCGAAGGCGTTTTTGCTAAGAAAGGAATCAAACGTTGCTTTGGAAACTGTACTGCTGCCTTTGCCCCTGTCACCTCCAACAGGAAACCCTGTTTGCCTGCCTGCCCCGAATCAGGTGGTTTCCCTCCTGATTTATTCAAGATTCTTCTTTCTTGGTCTTTAGTTTGGTAAGTTTAATCATGATGTCTTGGCATGATTTCTTTGTTGTTTTTTTTTCTGCTTAACTTTCATTTTTTGGCTCTGAATTTAGGTCCCTCGCAAAATTTGCAATGTCTTTAGCAAATACTGTTTCCTTAAATTTGTTCGGTCCTGTTTCCTTCACAAAAACACTGGGGCCCCTCTGTGGTAAGGAAGGTCCCTGGAGCTCTTTTTTCCCCAGGCTGCCTTCTCCCTCTTCTCAGACAGAATGCTCTCTACTCTCTCAGTCCTCTGACTTCTTATTCCTGTGCTTCTGGGCCGTCCGCTGAGCTCTCCATCTGCTGCAGTTTTCAGTTCCAACATTTCCACTCAGTTTTCCTTTCCATCATTTTTAGGGTGCTGAGGATTGAATGGACTGTCTCATACTTGTGGGGCCTCTCCTCTCTCTCTGAGCTACTACACCCATCTCTCTGCTGAGGCTTTCCATTTCTTCAATTGTTCCAAATGTGTTCTTAATTGCTCATTGAAGCATTTTTATTACAGTTGTTTGGATGTTTTGGTTGGAGAATATGTGGTGTGTGTGTGTGTGTGTGTGTGTGGTGTATGTGTGTAGTGTGTGTGTGGTGCGTGTGTAAGGATGTGCTGTGTGTGTGTTGTGTGTGAGTATGTGGTGTGTACGGTGTGTGTGTGTGGTGTATGTGTGTATGTGGTGTGTGTGTGCACGTGTGTATGCATGTGTGTGTATGTGTGTATGCATGCACACGTGTACACGCGCGTGCACATGCGTGTGTCTTCCAGAAGCTGATGTCACTTATCTTCTTCAGCCCCTCTTCACCTTAATTTTCAGACAGAGTCTCACGGAACCTGGAGCTCCCTGACTTCTAGCCTGGGTACTCAGCAAGGCCCAAAGATGTTCTTGTCTCAGCCTCCCCAGCCCTGGGATTACAAGCACATGCCACCATGCCTGACTTTGTACATGAGTGCTAGGAAGTGAATGTAGGCCTTATTGATTTATTTTTTATTTTTTCATTCATGTTGGAAACTTCTTGGTTCTTGGTATGACAAGAGAGTCCCAAAGGCATTTGGAGCACATGCAGATTTCACTGAAGTTTGTTATTTTAGCCAGAGCTCTTCGAGACCACTCTGATGGCAAGGGCAGGTGGCTCCTCCACTTTGTCAGCTGGAGGGAAAGTGTAGAGTTCGCACTTAGCCTCCACAGACAACCAAGGTGGGCAGGGACTCCTTATTGCTGCTGAGATGGATCTAGAGCTCCAACTCCTACTGTGATCTCCACCAATACCATGTGGAAATCCCAACTCCCGCCATGCCTCCTA